CGTTGGGTATAGTGTGTTTACGGTAACGATGAATCCATAAAAATCTCACCATGCTACCCACCCGGAGATTCTTATCATCTTCAAACCTCTCTCGCAATCCCATCCTAATCAACTTTATGGCCCCGAGTTAAGCGTTGTTAGAACTATTGCTGTAAATGACTCATTCATATATCACCGATTACTCGAGACCGACTCATTTAAAATTTGATCAACACTCTAATCTAATGAACTTAATTTAATTTTTTTACTAGTTTAAAAAATCATGAGTTACTAAAAAATAATAATCTATTAAATCTTAAATTATTAATAATATTAACATTTATATATTATCTTTTTTAGAAATAAAATATAAAACTTTCACGTTCAAATTGGATTTCAACTTTTTATTTTAAATGGAGCTTGAAAATTACAAACTCGAGAGCTTTTGAGTCGAGTCTCCATTTTCAAATCAAACTTAACAATTTTAAACTCGCAAATTTTCAAATCAAATCAAGTTGAATTTTAAAATTTTCAATTCGGATCGAACTCGAATCATTTGCAGCCCTAATGCCGAAAGTGCTCCTGAAATTGTCAAAGTTTAGAACTTACTTTTTGAAATATTTGATGCGGTGATTACTAACGAAATAAAATCAAATTCTTCTAAAAAAATACTCATAATCTTATCGTTTAAATGAGATATATTTGAAGGCAAGCCAGCAAGTTATATAATCCACGTAGGCATACAAACATAAAAAGGGTTTTTCCTAAAACTAAAAGCACGTCAATTGAAAAGAAAAAAGTAGTTCAGAAGAGCTTGGAGAAAAGATAATATTTCTTCTACTTTACCATAAAAAATAATGGAACGACAAAAAGAACTCAGCAGACATCAACCCAAGTAAACCATCAATCGGTTAATCCTCGTGTTGCTGAACAACTTCAACAGCCTCGTGTTGCTCACCATAATCCTGCAGGGCATAACCAGGGCTATCATAAATACCTACGCATGGTTAAACAATATTGCCAGACTATGTAACTGATCTCAGGTGAAAATATAACAAAACAGGACAAAATTGGATTGACTAAACAATATTGTGCAGATCAGCAGAATGTATTTCCATGTATATATGTCCATACCTTGACAACCACGCAAGAGCAGCCAACCACCTTCCTTGCCTTGCCCTCGGAATCTATCTTGCACAACTGCATCCCGATATTAAGCGTAATTGGCATCAAGAACAAAAGTAATCTCATTTGATTTAGCAGAGAATAGTTTGTAGTAATATTCACCAACGACCAAAGTGGTCTCGTTGAGCAACTAAAAGATACATGATAGGCATGGAAATTTTACTTACACCAGCCCAATCGCCCAGTATTTTTGAGCTAGGCGCATGTAGCAGTTTTACATTATGGTCAGCACAGAGTGCCTTGACCAGTTTAACATAATCTGGCTGGTCACAGTCCTCAGCCAAAACACAAAGATGTGCATTGTGCTTTTCAATCGCCTTGGCAGCTTCGTGTAATCCACGTGCAAGCCCACCATGTGCTTGGGACTTCCTAATCACAAGGGCAAGGCTGAGTTGATATCCATTGGCTCACCAATGGCAGCTGCAACATCAGATGGAGCAGCGACTGCAACTTCCTATCTGCAAATTCATCAGCGAAAAGTACATCATAAACACATGAAAGAATAAAACCAAAATCTAATAATGATGAAATCTATCAAAAGGAACATATAAAGACATCAGACGGGAGGAAATGATGGGTTTAGAATTTTTTGTTGCCAAAATCATACCCTAATTAGACATTACATCAAATTGGACAAGGTTGTGGAATAATTTCTGCAACTACATCATGAACAAATACATGAACCGCCTGATCTAAAACAAAACATTAATTAAGTTTTTATTTTCCAACAAATCTGGAAGAAAACAAACAACAATTCATACAACTTAACAAGTAAGCAAATCATCGAAAAATAAAACACAATGAAAACCTTTCAGCACACAAATATACCATAGCACATTATTCCACACTAAAGCAAATTCAACCCAGACATAAATCTAAACAAAACGAATGTAGTATTCATTTAAAGACATAAATCTAGTGTTCAATTAACTTGGTCCTGAACATTAATATAGGAAGATGAAAATTACCCGGACATTTTTGGGCTGAAATTGGGATCGAAGCTTTAGCTTTCTGGTAAAAGGAAAAAAAGAATCAAAACAAAGCCAACTTAGCAGGCCTATTTAGCTAATATAATGATGAAAACTAAACAAAATTAATGTTTCGTTCATCAAAAACATTAAACCAAAGAAAGAAAAACAAGAGAACAAGTTGATATAAATAAGATTAAGAACCAAGAGAAGATGCTAACCTTAAGAGTGATGATATTGAAGAACGGCGAGAGTTATTCCTCTTCTCTTCGGCTGGTTGGCTGAGAAATCTCGAGGTTTTTTTACTGAAGTCGAGAGATTTATATCGGAACCCTATTTTCTAAATCTATGATGGGCCGTAGGCTGATGTTCTCATCGCTTCTCTTTGGGCTGGAGTTGCGTTTTTTTTTTGCTTTTGTCGGTAAAATTACCCAATAGGTCAAGCAGGTAAAAAAAATTGTCCATCACGTCATCTCTGAAATTAATTTGGGATTTATAACATTTACTACATTGTTTTAGAATTCGTCACATGAGCATGTCAAATTCAAATAAAATATATATTTTTATTGAAACTTGTAACACATGATAAATTCTAATAAAAATTATATTTATTTAGAACTAGTCACATCCACGTGATAAATTTGAATAAAAAATATTATTTGATCAAATTCGTCATGTGGGCGTGACGAATTTCCCATGTACTGTAGCATTTATGGTATATCCCAAATTAATTTTGAAAAGGGCCTAATGGGCCAATTTGTTTACATGCCTGGTCTCTTGAGCTAATTTTGTCGTTTTTGTAAACCACGACCAATTCAATTAATTACTTTATTTTTTAAGAAAAATTACGCGTTTAATATCTAAACTATCAATTTTGGTCCGTTTTAGTATCTAAACTTTTTTTTTTCAAGATCATACCTGAAGTTTAATTTTTATTTCATTGTAGTGCCCTTCAAAATTTAGCATTAATTTTAAAATAAAATAAATTTTAGGTACTAAAACATATCAAAACTAATAACTTATGTACTAAACACATTAAATTTTTAATGGGTACTAAAATGAAACAAAAATTAAACGTTAGACATAATTTTGAAACAAATTAAAAGTTTAAGTAATAAAAAATATCAAAACTGATAGTTTAAGTACTAAATACGTAGTTTATCCTTATTTTTAACTTCTATTCGCAATTTTAACTCCTAAATTATATTCATTCCAATACTTTGACATTTTCTTTTATCAATTTGATAATTAAATTATAATTTTATCCTAATTTACTAAAATAATGATACGTCATAACGTGATATATATTTTTATACCTCAAATAATATCATGGGTTATATTCTCATTGAACATCTAAAATTTTATCGTTTCAAAAAATTTATCTATAGTGAATTGAGACAGTAAAAGAGTAAAACAAGTATCAATGAAAAGAACAAAGTATAATTCAAGAGAGAAACGTGCATCAAACCTTCTTTTTATCGAGTTATGATTTACATGGAAAAATCAAATAATGATAAAAATAGCTTCAGTCATCTAAAACCACAGGTGATGTATATTCATTCTTAAAATATTATTAGCTTCAACTTCGTTCAAGAAAATCTGATAATTATCTTGGAAAAAATGGAATAAAGAACAAAGAAAATAAGCTCCCTTGGTAGTGCTGAAAGGGATCGTATTACTAGTGTGGATATTTAAACCCAATATAGGTCATGCAGGTTGCGTTTTCAGTCAACTCGACTATACAAAAAATATACATCCTCCGTTTGAAATCCAACTCGAGTTTAAAGGTGACTTCACCTGACCCAAACTCAACTTGAATTTTTTAAATAAATTCCAAACTCATCCCAAAATAAATATATTTATAAAATATATTATTTTACTCAATAAAAATAAGGATCTAATTGAAAAATTAATATATAAAATGTTATTATTATAACTATCTCTAAATATATAAGGTAAATTTACATTAATTTTCGGGTCGGATAGGATATTTTTAATCATAAACCTGAACTTGACCCGAATATATTTTCTTAAAATCTCAACCTGACTCAAACTCAAATCCGAATTTAAAAAAAAAAATTCACCCGATTGGGTCAAAACCCATCGGGTTCAGATCCCGAGCCCATCCGTAGTAATGACTATAGGAATGAGTCAGACTAACACCTTTCAGTGGCAAACATTGACCCTTGAGCAAAGCTTGCTGCACCCCATTTTACTAATTACTATTGAAATAAAAGAGGATATATAGGGATGACGAATCAAAATAATACTTCAAGAAAGACTTTGCAAGTAAAACAAAATACAACACTTGGTTCTTTGATAATTCTCTGATGAGGTGAGAAATGAAAACAAAAACCATGCATTTGTAAATACCCTATATCATTGCATCATACATACAAAACTCTCTTAAACTAATATTGCACCAGCTCTTCACTTTTTCTCGGTACTTGTCCGAGAAATATTTGGATATATGCACGGGGATGCTTTAAAATAATAGAACATGTTAGCATTGGATGCATCTACCTCCACGGAATACGAGAAACACAGCTATTAACATGTGAAGAAAGCTATAGCATCAATGAACATATTTGGAAAAGATATGGTTGCAAACTGACAGGATAAACAACATAACAGAATCATTCATCCAACTACAGTACCATCAATTGATCTTTGAACTTTATTGTTCCAGCAGAGGATACATTCCAACTTGATATACTAAACAAGATGCAAAGGAGGATTCATCTAAATTCATGACTCAGCAAGCAGATATCATTTATAGGAACATGACTCGTTCACAAACAACATGATATAAAGATAACAATGTTTGAAAATCCATCACGACAAGTAATAACGCACATTAATAGTCATTCACTATTGAAACTAAATATTTACCAGATTTCTAGGTTTAAACAAGTACAACTCAATTCTGCTTCAGTAAAGAAGGGATGATGCAATGAGGGCCAAGACTTATCATTATTATCTTCTTTCTTGCGATCAATCAAACTCACCTCATCAATTTCGACCAAGTGGGAGTGATCTACACATATATGTTTCCTTAAAATCTGACTTCTTCGAAGAAGTAAATATGGAAGCATAAACTTCCTTGGTAGCGTTTGCCGGTGCCAAATCCAAGGCTCTAAACTTCTTCACCCCACCATTACTCGATTTCTTTCCATTCTCAAGTTTTTCATTCCCTTCCAATTTACCAAAATCCTTCTTCCCATCCACAACATCGATTCCCCTTTTCTTCTTCTTCTCCATGGTGGTTTTCACTTTCTCTTCCTCCATCTTCTCCCTCAAGGCCGCCACCTCCTCCTCACTTCCATTAATCACCATCTTATCAGACTCCACAAACTCCTTATGACAAACCAAACAAGCTGATGACTTAACCTCCTTTAAAGCCTTAGCACTAACAATATGCCCACAATTCTTCAACGCAAAAAACTTATACTTCCCATTGAATTCAAGCCCCGTTATCGGGCACTGAAACATGGCACCATCAGCGGCATCTGATTGCTTCCCAGGAATCATCGACAACTTAATATTAATCATATCTTTCAAACCCTTTATATGCCTAAACTCTTTGGGCGATTTCTTACCCAACAACGCTTCAACAAGTGCTTCCTTATTGAAAATATTGCCTAATTTATCAATCACGCAAGGTTCTCTCAAAGGTTCATAAGATAGTGCACAGTTGAGCCACTGACCAAGCCTTTTCTCATTAGGATCGATTTTATCGGGCTTCTTTTCAGAGTACATCTTAAGATAACAGTCGCGGGACTCGGCTCCAGTGGCGCCGCCATCGCCTCCGCCTCCAGAGATGCAAGGGAGGAGAGAAAGGGTGGAAAGATGGGTAATTTCAGGAGTCGGGAGAAGGGTGGAATCCGAGAAGGGTTTTCCATTGAGGGCAAAGTAGAAGGAGGAGATGGATTGCGGATTCGGAAGGAGAGATGATTTGAGGTGGCGAAGGGTTAGGGTTTGGGTGGATTCTAGGGTTACAGTTAGGGTTTGGTGAGTCGGGGATCGTACAAAAAACTGTAGCTGCATTTTTAGGGGATTTGTTTTAGGGAAACAAGGATCGATTAGTGAAATTGGTCAGGAACTTGGAATTATATGTTTATAGCTCTGAGGGCGCCTGGCGGTGGCGAAAACGGCGGTCGATCTGCGTTTTTGTGACTTTCACACTAATTTTGATCTGTGTTCGATTGAGTAAAAAAGGACATACAGATAATAGCAGGATACTTGAAAGAACAATTAACCCATAACTAGGCCCAATAATGGAAAGCATGACCCAGATTTAAAACCCACAAATATATAAAACATGAGAAATTACACCATAAGTCACTCTATTAATAGATTTTTACAAACATGCTATTTTATCGTTAAAAATAAAATTCACATTAACTTTTTAATTAATATAAAATTACTCAATTTATCGACTATAACAATTATATCACTCTATTTTCTGATTACTACAATCAAAACACTTAGTTATAATTAAGAAATTAATATATGCCTCAGTAACAAAGTGGTACATTTATAACATTTTATTTCATCGGTCATTTATAATTTTTTTTAAAATTTTAGTGATCCATTTATAAAATTACTGATAATTGAATCGTTTAAGATCAACTAAGTTCAATTATGCTAATAATTGAGATCAATTAAACATAAAAATTCTCATCAAATATATACTGTAGAGGTTACGATGATAGATGATAAAGATAACGAGAGAGAATGATAACAATGTTACAGAGAAATGATTATGAACAATGAAGAACAAATTGTAGACACATGTTTTTGTCTAGGTTTCAAATTAAAATTATTATTACTATTAATTATTATTATTATTATTATTATTATTATAATATTTACATTTATTTTTGTAGGCCTGAAATTGAGACCCAAATACATGACCAAACCCACCCGGTTCAAGCCCAATTATAACACCTAAACCCAGGCCAGTTGCAACCAGCCAACCCATCAACTCAAACCCACCCGGTTTCGACCCGATTGGAGCCCAATGACATATCCGACCCGACCCAATATCAACACCTTAGGGGGCGTTTGGATGGGGGAATGTGGTATTCCCCCGAGAATGGAATCCACATTCCCCCATTTGGTTTGGCAGGGAATGTCATTCCCAGTAATATTTTATTACCAATAGTAGATTTTTTGGGGTATATTACAGGGAATGTCATTACCTCCATTCCCTTAGGTATTGTAACATTACTGGCGTTTTGGACTAAAATGCCCTTAAATTTTTATTTTTTTTTCAAAAATATCATTCTTCTGTCATTGAATAATAAAAATTCTACGAAGGTTAAATTACAAATTTATCCTTAAATTATTTTAGATTTACAAAAAAAATCTATAATTAAAATTTTATATGAAGTTCAGGGGTTAAAACAAAATTTTACCATTTCATTAAACCATTTTTATATTTTTAATTTTGTAAAAAATTATATAAATATTATGAATTTAATTTTTTTAAAGAAAATATATAAATATTTTACAACTTGTAATATTATACAAATATATAATAAGGACAATTTGGTCAAAAATACATTCCAATAATCTTTTATTCCTTTAACCAAACACGATAATCTTACATTCCTGCTAAACCAACCAAACACAAAATAAAACATTCTCAGTAATCCTATTCTCTGGTAATATTTTATTCCCACTGGTAATGTTATATTCCATGAACCAAACGTACAGGGTTTATGAAACCCTAATCCTAGATAGCTACTATCACCGACAGTGGTGGTGGTGGTTGTCGCCAACCATCTCTGACGATGTCGCTTCATCTACAGTGACCTTAAATCAAAATCAATCAGAAAAAGCCCATTAAAAAATATGGACAAATCTCAATAAAATCCCAAGAAGATCTGGGGGATGTCAATCCACCGAATCAATCACCAAGCATCCAACAATCAGATGAAAAAGAGAGAGAACTGAGGAGATAAAAAGAGAACATTTTGGGGACCAGTTTCGAAAAAAAAGACAAAAAGAAACGAGAGAAGAAAAAAGAAACTTTCGAGAGAAAAAATAAAAAATAAAAATCAAATAGAAAAGTAAATCAACCAAGAAAGAACAAGGGGAAAAGGTTCTTACCTCGGTTCGAAGCCAAAAACCCAATGGTCATCGGAAGCTTCGAGTTTTCGGAAGGTAAGCTTTAGATCTGAGGCAAAGGGGCGGGTTTTAGGCTAAAATAGCTTGGGATCTAGGTTGGGGAGAGGAGAGGGATTTTTTGGGGTGTTTGACTCTTTCCGGCCACTGTGAATCGTTGTGAAAGTCACCGACGAACGACGGTCCCTCTCTTCCCCGATGAGGGAGTTGAGAGAATTTGAGAATTCTCTCTCCTCCCTCTATTGTTAAACTGAAGCAAATGAGAAGATGAATGAGGGAAAGCCTGGTTTCAGGCTTATATATCACCCATGAAACGACGTAGTTTCGATGGGGACTAGTTAGCATTTTAGCGGGTGGGTAACTCTCACTTTAGGTCCTTCTGGTTTTGTAATGTTTTATTCCAATCATTAATGAAACGTTTTATTTCCTTTTATTTTAAGCTCATGTTTTATTAATGTTGTAATTTCGTCCTTATTAGCCTTTAAATGTTTGTACATATATATTTAAGCTGGGGTCATTGTAATTTAACTTATTTATACTTAAGTAGTACATGTTTTTTATCAGTTCATTTTAGTCACCTTTTTCTGTTATTGTATTTTGGTTAAGATTCTGTTAGTGTCCTAGCATTTTGTTTTATTTAATTTTGGTCCTGCCTGCTGTTGGGGGTTTATTACTATTTCAGTACATTGTTTCCATAATATTAACAGATTGATATATTACGTTATCTAACTCATGATTGATGGTTCCTTTGTTATTTGATTCTATGTTTTTTTTAATTTCATTTCAATGAACATGGATAGTAATTCGTTTGCGTTGAATGTATCTTATGTACGTATATACATTGTGTGTATCTTATATTTCGTTATAAATATCAATACTTTAGTATGTATCTGCATTATGATTTCAAATATGCCTATTATTAAATCATGTTCATTTATGTTGTTTAATTACAAATATTTAGTATATGTATGCAACAATTGTGTTATACACATTTACCTTCTTTTATATTCGCATTTGGTGTCTATTTTATAACCATATTATTTTATACGATTTGTATATTTAATATTTATATATTATTTACTTATTGGAATTGGTTTTGAACGATTGTACAAAATATTAGTTCCGTTCATTTTTAATATTTTCAAGAACGACGATTTGTAGAATGGGTGTGGAAAGCATTACTTGATCGAAGTGGTGCGATCCGATACGACATTTGAACAAAATGTGAACTTGAAATAAAAAAAATTTATTTTACTAATTAATTCATTTTTATTTTAAGTTGAACAAGACAATGCATGTTTCTAAATAGCAATTTATTTTATTTTATGTAAATGCCAATTTTTAATTTATATTCGAGTTGCGTTTTTTTATAACATTGATGAGGGGAAATATTTCTTGTATAAGGGAGAAATAGACGAGATATCATTCCCATTGGAGGATGTGCAAATCTCGTGATTTCTTCTTAAATTAAGGAATGTTCCCAACAAATAATTCGAAGCAAATTAATTAAATTTATTAAATGGATCATACTTTAATTACCGATGCGAATTCATGATTTCTGCCGTTACAACAACATGTAAGCGATTAAGTACCAATTTTGGGCGTTGTGGGGTGTTAATCGTTCCCCACACATAATCGACTCTCGGACCCGTTAAATCGAAATTTTTGTAAATGCATACCAATTTTTGTCTTAAAAACGATTTTTCCTTAAAATTGTTTTAAAAGACGGTTTTAGGTATTTGATCTACCTAACCCAAAGGTCGATGGAGACTCATATTCAATTTAATCCAAATTAATTCAAAATCATCAAATTTTCAAATAAAGTCATAATTATTTTTAAACTTAATTGTTTTTTTAAAAAAATGGTTATGACAGTTTGACTACTCCATTAGGGACATTTTTTTAGAGAGTCGGGCTGTAAGTCGCTTACACATTATCGTTGTGGTGGAAATTATGAGTTCGAGTCTATAGTTAGCTTATGATCTATTTATTAAATTTTGTTTCTAATTTCTATGTGTTTATCGTACTAACGTTTTATTCATTTTTTCAGCTTTTGCTAAGGTTTTTGTCAAGTTTTTTCATTTTCTTTTGAGTCAAAGGTTTGTACGTTTCTCCTCACACAAATCACGAGCATTTTCATAACATAAGCTCTAGACCCGAGCTTCGGTCCAAGTAAGTCAGGGTGAATGCTTTACTCTCGTGAGAATTTATTCTTCTTATGAGTCTTAGCAAATAGCCCCTGGGGTATACATGCCTTATACCTTCGTAGGGATTTATTCCCCGTATGGGTATAAGAAAGTGAATCCCCTCGAATTGAACTTGTTCCATTAGAAACATGTAATGGGTGAGGATCGATGGTTTGACAGCCCAAGGGGCCACTGACATCAAGGACAATTCGAGTATCCTTTCCCCATAGAGGCGAAACCATGCATGTAGTGAACCGTAGAACGGTCACCCTAGGTATAGCCATACTAAACCTATGTCCGCCAGTAGGTGCCAAAATAGGTGTACACAAAGGAGGAACGACTCTAAACCTTTACCTTTTACTTTAAGTTCATAGAATATATTTATTCTTTTTGAACAAAAGCATGCGAACTAGAAATTACATGCGGACTAGAAATTACATGCGGTTAGGATTATTTTCTTGAAAATAAATCATTTGGGTAGAAAGCATGTCCAGGTAGGATTGTTATCTAATGAAAGCATGCTTGGGTAGATACCATGATCGGGTAGGTGTTGTATTTATTTTTATATAGCATCTTTTAATTTTATTGATTATATTGCCTGTACTAACTTATTTCTTTTATTTTGTTTGTGCTATTTTCGTCATTTTTTGCATTGCATTTCATCAATACAACATAATGCGAAAGTGTTGATCCACAAGGGGATATTCAAGAGAAAATTTTCACAAGAAGAGATAAAAGTTTTCAATCAAGCAGTCGCATATACATACATGCATCGAAGGCTAAAAGAAGTTCAAAGAGTCCAAGACTGAAACTTACTCGAGGATCATACGATATTCGAGACTGGAAAGGTGATCCTTGGATCCGAGGA